AAAGGTCAGATATCTGATCGCTAAAATCCTGCATCAGATATTAGCACTTAAGCTGATTTGCTCAAACTCCGAATTCTCAGACGGAGTGTTGGGGATTCATTTGGAACCCCGTGTGCACAAACGAAATATGCTACCCCATTGAATTCGGCATTTCAGACTCAACAGAACCATCAAAACTTCTATCTGAGGTCGTTTTGATGAAAAATGGGTCCCACACTCAAGTTTCGTTTTAAGCTAAAAACCACAAGAAGGCTCAAAATGAGACCGAAAGCTTAGAGAACTACACAAAAGGTTGTTCTAGACCAAACTCGACATTCCGAAACTAACCGCGCTGATAGAATTCTCATTCAAGCAGACCCTTGGCTTAAGCTTCAAAGTTTAAACGCCTAACGACACAAACTCACTCCAGAAGTCTTGGGGCTCGAACCAACCGTGCCCTAGCCTAAAATAGTCTCTTTGGAGCTGATGAAACCATCAGAATTGCATTATGAGATCGTCTTCCTGATCTTTTGACTAAAGTCAATCGTTCAAGTTTCAAAGGCTCCAAAATACGAAAACTTGCACAAAAACTAAACGAACGACCAGGTGACCGAATTTTCAGTCCCAAAAAGTCATAAATAACTTGGGGTCGCTACAAAAAATCTCTAAACGATGAACTGGAGGCATAAACAAAGAAATGACCTTGAGGGCACTACAACATCCACTACTAAAAAGGACTTATGTTCGTCAAAATGTCAGTGAAGAAGTACTTGAAGGCTCAAACAAGCCCAGAGACTGCTCCCGCATATCCTACTCGGTCTCCCGGGTAGCCTCCTCAACTAGATGGTGCCTCCAACGGACCTTAACCACATGAATGGCTCTCGAGTGCAACCGTTGCACATCTCTGGCAAGAATGGCAACTGGGTCTTCTACGAAGGTCAAAGATATCATCCAACTCTACTGCATCATACTGAAGTACATGCGCCTCATTAAGAACATACTGGCGCAACATTGAAACATGAAAGACTGTGTGGATAGCTGAGGCTTGAGAACATTGGGGGTAAAGCTAACTCATAAGCAACCTCTCCAATTGTCCGAGGATCTCAAAAGGCCCAATATACCTGGGGCTAAGCTTTCTCCGCCTCCCAAATCTCATCACGCCCTTCATGGGTGACACATGGAGGAAAACTCTATCACCAATTGAAAACCTCAAAGGTCGTTGCTTACGATCATCATAACTCATGTGCCTACTCTGAGCTGCTCAAAGTCTGTCTTGAATCACCCTTACCTGCTCCAAAGCCTCCTAAATCAAGTCTGTGCCACACGGTTTAGGCTTTGTAGACTCAAATCAACCAATCGGAGAGCGACAACGCCTACCATATAAGGTCTTAAATGGGGCCATATGGATGTTGGAATGGTAGATGTTATACGCAAATTCCGCCAAAGGCAAGAACGGGTCCCATTAACCACCAAACTCTAATACACAAGCCCGCAACATGTCTTCAAGGACCTTAATAGTAAGCTCCGACTGGCCATCTGTCTGCAGATGGAAGGCTGTGCTAAGGTCAACGCGAGTGCCCAACTCATCCCGGGAAGTCTTCCAAACTATAAGTGAATTGATCACCCCGATTTGATATAATAGACTGGTACACGATTAAGAGAAACCACTTCACAAATGTAGATATGGGCTAACTTCTCGACACTGAATGAATACTGAACATGGAGAAAGTGTGTTGGCTTGGTCAATCGTTCAATGATGACCCAAATGCTATAAACACCTCTAGAAGTCTGAGGCAAATTTGCCATAAAGTCCTTAGTGATGCGATCCCACTTCCACTTCGGAATGGGTAATCTCTGAAACTCACCACCAGGTCTCAAATGCTCAACCTTCACCTGCGGATGACTTAGGCAACGGGACACATAGTCTGCAATATCTCTCCTCATGCCGGCCCACCAGTAAGGTGGTAATCAAGGTGAAGAAAGAAAACTTTTCCGGTGCCGAGGCCAATGGAAGGGGTGGTTCTACCCTCCTAGTAAGTAGGAGAGAGAACTATCTCGGTCTTCGTGCCTAGGAGCAACCTAAATCTAGATTTACCACCTATCTGGGATTGTTCTGTATATTATTATATTATTACTTCTTTCTTATGTTTTTTAAGTTGAGAAAATGGCCAAATGACCCCTAATCTATAACCGGATTTCCAACTACACACTTATACTTCACGGGGGCCCTATCACCCCCCTGAGCTATTTTAAAGTGGAATTATTCCCTCCCTGAAATGTCATTTATGTCAATACCAGGCGTCTGTCTTGTGGTGAAATACACGCACTTGACATGTGTATTTCACCATTTAATGATTATTTTTAAAAAAAAGGTTCTCCTCTTTCCTCTTTCTTTCTTCCCCAATCATTTCTTCAACCCTAACTATACTAAACACCATTTTTTACCTCAATAAATTTCTATATCTAACATTTTATAAAAACGAAAATTCAACTCACCTTTTCATCTACTCCGAATCTCTAGAGTCTAGAAGATAGCGGTCCTAATTAATCAAATCTTTCATCCAACTAATTCAACAATTTTCCACATATTTTTACATTTCGTTCGATTTCTTCCTTAGACAATTTCAAATACACATTAAATGGGTCATGAACATTCGAGATCAGATTCATCCCTTGAAGATTCCACCAACAACTCAAAATAATCGCATATGAGAAGATCAATTTGTAACACCAATTTGAGAAACC